GGACAAATTTTCAAAACCGACCACTTTGGGATTTTAATTGCAAAAAACGACCCATTTCAATCTTATTTATAAAAACCGACCCAGTTGGTTGAAACTGGGTCGGTTTTTAAAAAAAAAATTCTCAAACTTCACGGGAGTTCAACTCCCGTGAAGTTTTGTTATGAGAAAAACTTCACGGGAGTTCAACTCCCGTGAAGTTTCCCAAAAAAAATTACAAAAACCGACCTGTTTTCAGCCACTGGCTGAAAACAGGTCGGTTTTTGTAAATATTTTCAAAACCGGTCGTTTTTTGCAATTAAAAACCCAAAAGGGTCGGTTTTGAAAATTTGTCCTTCAGAACAAAACTTGTGTCAACTTAAGTGGATAGCAAAAAGTTGTCCACCAAACTTTTAAACACTCATATTGTCTAGGGATCCTTGCATGATATGAAAATATTTTTTATATTAATAAATGAGTGGTTAGAAAGTTTGGTTAACATCAACTTAAGTCGATAGGAGTTTTACTCTTATGTTTCATTCACTTTAGCACTTACATGCCCTTAGTTATTTTTTGAAGCATTTATATACTTTGAGTTGTTTGAAGTTAGCAATTTAGTACCCTCTTTTATATAAACGAAAAAAAATTCACACAAATGTTCCCATATAATATTCATATATTAATTTTAGAGCATTTTAGTCATTAATATTTGTTAAATTTACTATAGCCCTAACCAAATTCTAATTTAAACATATTCTCGTTCATTTTGAAATATTAAAGAACTTCCGGATAAAAAATTTCACGTTTATATAATAAAGGATGCTAAATTGCTAGCTTTAAAATATATAAATACTCAAAAAACCAACTGATAGTATAGGGCTAAAGTAGTGAAACATAAGGTATTTTAGTGCGATTTAGCATAATTATAATGTAGAGAAAATGTACAAACATCAACGAGGGGATAAAGATATGTTCACCTATATCCAAGTTTACCTCACATATTGGCTTTGAGGAACCAAAAATCAGCTGAAATAATTTCATTTAGGCAAATTCACAAACCTGATCTACAAGAAGCCATAGGCCTAAACTACAACTCAACTCTCAAAAGTTTCATGCATCCACCAAATAGAAAGCAACATCCAATAATAACACGATGGCTGCTACACACCAAGAATAGTAAATCACATAGCCAGAAGTCACCACAATTTGTAATGATGTAGGCACGGTATATACTTTTGAAACACTCTTTATCTCATGTCAACCATTGCATTTACATAACTAAATAGCTCCCCACAGGCAAGCAAAGGTTTCAAGACGGCAAGTGGAAATTACAAGGGGAGAGGTTAATTCTAATATATCCCAAAACAGTGACATCATATCGCAATCGTTATCAAAGCAAAGCAAAGCAGCTGATGAATTTCAGCTTCTTGTCGAAGGATTTTCACTCAAATTGGACACCTGAGAGTCTGAGACACGAACTTTGCGTCAGAATGTGGAAGCAAAAAATTATAAGACACAAAGTCAAAAAGTGTGTCAGGCATTTGAGTAAAACCTTTTGCAATCAGAATTAGGAAGTGCCAGCTGAGGTCGATCGTCCTGAAGCTTGTAATTCCTTCAATGTACTTGCTAGCCAGTCTAAGCCCTCATAGAGGCCGTCACCTTTTAGGGCACAAGTCCCTTGGATGTGCCATATACGGTTCTTTAAATCATATAAACCCAGGCCCTCGCACACCTCCATCGGTGTCATTGCACCTTTCTGAAGAAAGGAAAAAAGGAAAATAAAAAAAACAGAGATATGGTTTTGTTAAATTCAGGAAGAAAACTATACGAGACAAAAGATGTTCAGAGTTACATTGTGCAAATCAATATAAAAGTTAAAAAAAGAAAAACATATGCCTAAGAAGCATTTGGATGGATCTGGAAGGTTGTCATGTGATCTGGCAATTTTTAAGAAAAGGAAGCTGGGACAAGTCAGTATCATAACATATTTCTATAATGTGAAAAACGCAATCGCCAAAGTAACATGCTAAATTTTTTAACCTACCACACATTTTGTTGACTTTCCAAGAAAAAGACTTGGCTCTTCAACTTTCTGCAAGATAATGCATCTCATTTTTTCATACTAACTCTAATTTTGTACAAGCTAATATTTTAATGACCTTCCACTAAAATATAATCTTTATATAAAATTAAAAGTAAAAAAATCTCAAACATGTAATGTTGCTAAACCAGTGTATGAGAAATACTGGGTGTGTCGAAGAAGTGATAAGTCAAATTAAAAATACATTATATAATTCAGGTAATGGTTAAGAAGTGTCCGAAAGTGTCCAAAAAATATAGACCCCACATGCATGATGTTTCCGACCCAACTCACCAAGTATAGAGGCATCTAATACTGACCAAAAATTAAGAAAACCATCACTATTGAGCAAAAACAAAAAACGTCTCACGCATTCAGTGAACCACTAAAATTAGATCATCTCAAATACGGTTGAAAATGTTGAAAGGGAGCAAATGTATATAAGAGTAGTCAGTATGAAGTTGTAAAATCACTGAAGAATTTCACTTCAGTGCATACAATAAAAGTAATCTATGCATTTCCTTTTGTACTACATAAAGATAGCGGTGCTTGTAAAATTTAATAATATCCAACTGACATGAAACCATGGAATTCACGATAGTATATAGGCAACCAGGCAAACACATGGCTATAATTTAGTAAGGCAACATCCTCTACTGTTATCAAATCATCAGTTGACAATACCATGTCCTGTTTGTTCGCGAAGACCAATATGATACTGTTAAGCATGAAAGGATCCCTGATAATCGCCTGAGAGAAAGATATAAATAATTAATCACAACATCAAAGAATCAACTTCTTCAAAAGACTAACAGTAATTAGCCAACTCAAAAATAGCAATAAAGAAAAGGAAGTAAACCTGAAACTCTGCTTTTGCTCTCCCAATTCTTTCTCTGTCCAAGGAATCAACAACATAGATCTGCAAGAAAGAATGCATAAACAGGTTTAAGTACGACAGATGAAAGGTAAGTCAGGATTGACAACATTATCTTCTTTATGTTATATGCAAAAGCTTAGAAGAGATGACAATTCATTAAACGGCAGTAGCAGTAGAATCTGGGGATAGCAAGCACTGGTACTGACTTCAGTTATCCAAAATAGAATACCTTAACTAATAATGAATAGTGTACAGCACCCATAACAAGGTTTAGGCACATAACACTTAAAATAAGCAAGCCTTCCCAGATTAGGTTAATAACAAATATTTGCCCACATGCTTTCAGGTAGAGATTATTTACCAGGCCATCAGTATTGTTAAAGTAATGCCTCCAGAGAGGCCTCAGTTTCTCTTGCCCACCGACATCCCACACCGTAAATACCACATTTTTATACTGGACTTTCTCTACGTTGAAACCTACATAACAAGAACGCAATAAGTCAATCCTGCGCTCCTGTCTAATTCAGCAAAAAACAAGTCTCAGAAGTCATAAGGGAAATTCTTGCAAAAAATACCGAGTTAAATGATTATTTAGGGGGGGTGGGGGTTTGGGGGGTGGGGGGGGGAATGAATTGAGTTACAAGGCATGCAGCACAAAAACAATGAAACTGCAGTAAAAATTAAACTTAGTAAAAGCAATTGCACAATAGAGCTACTCAGTTGTATGCAAAGAAAGTATCATAGCTCAGAGACACCACTTCCATGTTAAACATAACCAACAGATGCTGCCAAAAGACATTGAGCTTTTTGCCGTTGTACATGCATATGCGTCAGACAAATGTTGGTATTTCTTGAAAATAGGATCTATAGTTTTATCTTATTTTACCTTGAAGAATATAGAAGAAAACAGTCAGTTCACATGAAAAGGTGAAAAATAGATGGCGGTAATTATGAACTTTGAAGATAATGTAAGAAAATTTCAGATCCATGGCTCACAAAGGTTTTCAAATTGAATGTTGCTATCAAAATCTTTTTCCTATTTGTTTTGGTTTCGATTACAATGAATGTAAGAGAGAATATCTTCTTTCTTTTACGTATTTTGGATGTATCACTTATGAAAACTAGTTTCTCTCTGTAAGAGACATTCCGAAAATGCAAAAAAGAAACAGACAAAAAAAAACTTTTTAGGAAAAATGTGTCCAGGCCCCAAAAGTAAAAAGTTCATGTGATCCGCTCCCTTGTATTCTGACCCATGTGTATAAGCCCCAAATACACATTGTATTTGTATTAAGACCCCAAAGTATCGGACCCTGAGAAAAGCCCAACAAAAGTTACGAATTTACCATTTGATTTGATTGACCTTGGTAACTGCGCTCATCCCTTTAACCCCATCTCATCTCTCTCTCCTCTATCTCTCACCTTCTCCTTCTCTCTCACTTGCGTCATGACCACTAAAAATGTCAGGACCTGGGGAGGCCATGGAAGGCGAAGGCGGGACGGTGGTCATGGAGTCGGAGGTCGGGGAGTCATCTTGGAAACAGCTCGTGAACGCGGGTTCAACGACAAACACGAAACATGGTCCGGTAGGACCCGCGAGCTGACGGAGCCCAGAGCTTTGGTCCAAGGCATCGTCGTTCTCCCATTTCTGAGTTACGGAATCTCTTTACCCAAATCAATGTCTTAATCAAGATAGTGCTCTAGTTTTCTTGTAATTTATGAAGGGAATCGATATTGGGTTTTTATAGTTTTTCTCTTTCATTTAATTGAAATGGGATCTCCTTGGATTCTTGAACAGCGGTTTGGGTTCTCCTTTAATGCCTTTTTCTTGTGTGATTTGGTGATTGACAGAGTTCTGTATAAGAGATTAACAACAGAAATTTTCAGAAGCTCACATTGAATCTTCAGGCATATCGACATTTAGCTAAAAATTAAAGACAATGTGATTAAAAGTTGACAAAAGAATCTAAGAATCTGTGAATTTGAAAGGGGGACAAGTAAAATTAGAACTATGAATCATGCACCCATCGCGGCCCCACCCTACAATCGAACCGCTCCATCAAGGTCATCGACGCCGACGACATCGCCGGGTACCTCCCGAGGAGCTTGGCCTCCTGAGGGACCTGGCTCTCTTCATAAACTCCAACAGGTTCTGCGGCATGATCCCTCAGACCTTCGAGAGGATGAGGTTGCTCTTCGAGCTCGACCTGAGCAACAATCGGTTCGCCGGTAAGTTTCCTAGGGTCGTCCTCTGGCTCCCCTCCCTGAAATTTCTCGACATCAAGTACAACGAGTTCGAGGGCAAGGTGCCCTCCGAGCCATCTTCGACAAGGACCTCGATGTCATCTTCATAAACCATAACAGGTTCGCCTTCGGAAAAAACAACATCGGGAAGCTGTTGAAAACTGGTTGTGAGCTGAGTAGTCTGGACTGTTAGCTCTAAGGGATGGAATGTTAGTTCTAAGGGCTGGACTGTTAGTTCTAAAGGCCGGACTGTTAGTTCTGATGACTGGACTGTTAATTCTACCAGCTTTCATGTTAGTTCTGTCATCTCTTACGTTAGTTCTACCCGCTTTCATGTTAGTTCTGTTATCTCTTACGTTAGTTCTGTTCGCTGACATGTTAGTTCTGTCTGCTGCCATTTGTTGAAACTGTGTGTAAGCTGGGAGACTGGAAACAAGTGTGACGAAAGGAAGCTTTGAAAAGCTAGACTGATATGCAAACTTATACATCTATGTATGTTTATGTTGGATATTAGCCCAGAGCGTGTTCATTAAGCAAGTTGTTTGAACTGGAACTCACCGGCAAGCATCTCATGCATCCTCATTGATGACCAGTCAATTGAGATGCTTCATCTATTAGAGAGGACATTCTTACAAATTTGATAAATGAATGAAATCTTGTCTGCAAATATTAGGAAAATATAACCTCTGACATTGCATTTCCCTACAACAAAATTTGTCAGAGCCTCCCTCCCTCTTCCTCCTAAGGTTGGTATGTCCATAATAAAATAAAATCAAATTACATATCTAGACACAGAATTATTTGCCCTTATTTGATTAAGAAGTGAGACCTCTACTTTGAAAAATTGAGCTCTCTAGTTTCAATGGAAAGAGAAAAGTTGAGGGCCAATCATAGCGTGTTAGTTCTAATTTTAGCTATTGTTATTTCTAATATAAGCGTTAGTTCTTGTGGTATGTTAGTTTTAGTTGAGCCCCTGTTAGTTCTAGTGGTTCTTGTGTTAGTTCTAGTTGTTGTCATGTTAGTTCTAACTTTCAGGTAGTGTTATTTCTAATATAAACGTTAGTTCTAGTGAGTTAAGTTAGAACTAACATGAATTAGAACTAGAACTAACATGAAGTGAGTTACAATCAACATAAATATGAGTTAGAACTAACAAAGAACCCAAGCGTCTAAAACTAACATGAATTAGAACTAGAACTAACATGCAGTGGGTTAGAACTAACATAAAGTGAGTTAGAACAAAGAACAAGTTAGAACTAACATGAATTAGAACCAGAACTAACATGAAGTGAGTTAGAACTAACAAAGAACAAGTTAGAACTAACTTTAAGTGAGTTAAAACTAACAAAGAGCAAGTTAGAACCAACATAAAATTAGCTAGAACTAACAAAGAGCCCAAGAGCCCTAAGGCCCAAGGCCCAATCAAATATTTTTAAATATATATTGTATGTGTAAGGGTTTGAACTCTTAACCTCTCCAAATTACCAAGCTTTACCACTAGACCAAGTAGCCAAAGTATTAATATTAGTTCCACTTAAAGTTAGCTCTTACTTGCCATTAGAACTAACATGAAATAAGTTAGAACTAACTTAAAATAAGTTAGAACTAACTTGAAATAAGTTAGAACTAACATGAGTTAGCTCATGATAGAATTTAAAAAATGGCATAAATAACTAGAGTTAGCTCATGTTTGTTCTATCGCAACTCATGTTAGTTCTAATTTTTACCAGCTCATGTTAGTTCTAATTTTTACCAGCTCGTGTTAGTTCTAATTTATTTAATGCGTTAGTTCTAGCGTAAATGTTAAGTCTAAATGTCATGTTAGTTCTAATTTATGGCATGTTAGTTCTAGTTTCTCCAGTGTTAGTTCTAACAGATATCGTGTTAGTTCTAATTTATTTAAGTCGTTAGTTCTAGCGTAATTATTGATTCTAAACATCATGTTAGTTCTACTTGATGATATGTTAGTTCTAGCTTCTCCAGTGTCAGTTCTAACAGGTATCATGTTAGTTCTAATTTATTTAATGTGATACGAAGGGATGGGATTTGGATTTCCAATGGTAGCACAGCTTCACATCCGTATACCAACGAATATGGGGTATCTCCCGTAGGTGTGCGTATGGTGATACGATAAGCCCAGAGTGCTTCACCGAGTTTATCATCCCAGTCTCGTTTATTGGTCTTCACGAGCTTTGACAGGATCTTAATTATCGTCTTGTTAAACGTCTCAGCTAATCCATTCGCAGCGGGATAATAAGTTGTTGACGAAATATCTTGAATTTTGAACTTGTCACAAGTCTAAACGTCATGTTAGTTCTAATTTATGCTATATTAGTTCTACCTTCTCCAGTGTTAGTTCTAACTAATATCGTGTTAGCTCTAATTTATGTAATACGTTATTTCTAACGTACTTGTTGGTCTAAACATCATGTTAGTTCTACTTGATGATGTGTTAGTTCTAGCTTCTCTAGTGTTAGTTCTATTTGGTATCGTGTTAGTTCTAATTTATTTAATGCGTTAGTTCTAGCGTAAGTGTTGGGTCCAAACGCGATGTTAGTTCTAATTTATGTCGTGTTAGCTCTACCTTCTCTAGTGTTAGTTCTAACAGATATCATGTTAGTTGTAATTTATTTAAGTCGTTAGTTCTACATAATTATTGGGTCTAAACGCCATGTTAGTTCTACTTAATGATGTGTTTGTTCTAGCTTCTCCAATGTTAGTTCTAATTGGTATCGTGTTAGTTCTAATTTATTTAAGTCGTTAGTTCTAACGTAATTGTTAGGTCTAAACGTCATGTTAGTTCTACTTGATGATGTGTTAGTTCTAGCTTCTCTAGTATCAGTTCTAACAGGTATCGTGTCAGTTCTAACAGGAGCTCAACTAGAACTAATATAGCCACTAGAACTAACGCTTATATTAAAACCAACACTAGTTGGAAGTAAAACTAACATGAAATCAGCTAGAACTAACACGAGAACCATCAGAACTAACATGAGCTTAACTAGAACTAACATAGTCACTATAACATGATATAAACATATTAGTTCTACTTAAAGTTAGCTCTAACATGAATTAGAACTAAGTTAGAACTAACATAAAAACATATTAGTTCTACTTAAAGTTAGCTCTAACATGAATTAGAACTAAGTTAGAACTAACATAAAATAAGGTTTACCACTAGACCAAATAGCCTAAAGTATTTATATTAGTTCTACTTAACATTAGCTCTAACATGAAATAGAACTAAGTTAGAACTAACATTAAATAACTTAGAACTAACATGAGTTATTGCTCATGATAGAGTTCAAAAAAGGGCAAAAAATTTTCCTCTATTTTTTTCCATCAGATCGCATTAATGGGCGTGACTTTTCATGTATTTTGTGGACCAGACGTCTGGGGAAGATAAGTGGAGGGGTAATTTCGGGGTTTTTTTTTAAAATACAATCTTTTTTTTATACTACTGACGTGGAGAGGCCTTGAAATACTAAATGGTACTTTTTGGGGCTGAATCACATGAGCCAAAATACAAGGGAGCGGGTCACATGAACTTTCTCATTTTGGGGTTTGGACACATTTTTCCCAAACTTTTTTCATGTAAAAGGAACATTAAATGATTGTGTCAAATGACAAGCAGTAATAGTATAGAACCAAATTTAAATAGAGTAGGCATTAAGGGAAACCTATAAAGTCATGTTGTCATCATAAGGTTCCTTACCAATTGTCGGGACTGTGGATAAAACCTCTCCTATATGCAACTTGTACAGTATAGTAGTTTTACCAGCTGCGTCCAGTCCAAGCATCACAACCTAAAAAAGAGCAAATAATTGTGATAAGAATTAACAAAACCAGATGTACCGACCATAATGGAAATAACAGATACAAATTCATAAGAAATCAAATTCAATGTGCTTCGCATAAAAAACATCAACAATTTGCAAATAAACTACAAGATTGTTTAACAATTTACTGAGAATTGTTTGTAAACAGCCATGATTGCTTTCCCTCTGAAACCTTATGAAAACAATAGTAGAAACAAGAAAATGTAACTCCAGCATAATTTGTTTTAAAGCAAGTTTTCCAATATCAAGTACTTGTTTGGAAGTCATATCTGACAGTACATTCATAGCAGCAGTTAAGCAAAGAATAACTTCATGGCTCGGAGATGTAGAACTGAAAATAACTGGAAAGGATATGTGTGTGTGTGTGTGTGTGTGTGTGTGTGTGTGTCAATGCAAAAGATAAAATAAAATGAGAAGGACACAAATGTAACATGTAAAGATAGAAAACAGAAAATAAAAATGAGAAATTAGAGCTGGCTCAAAAGGGCATTGCAGTGGAGATAATTCAGATTAAGGTCATGAAAATAATTGTAAAATATCGGAACTATTTTCAGCCGTGAACACCTAAAGTTCAATAAAGCAAGATACTCCATTTTCATGTGTTATAAGAGAATCACTCACGACCTCAAAATCAGGCAAAAAGGAGATCACGTAATAAATCCAATTAAGAATGACGAACAATTTGTAGCATAAGATAAAAAAAACAAAAGAATGACAGTATAATGAATCATCTATTTGTTGGCTGCTTTCTACAATCGTTGTGAACTAGATGCACATGGCCAAACCAAAAGCCATGTACAACATATAAAAGGTCATATGGTAGTCATCTAACTTAAGCACAGTCACCCAGCGATTTCAAAATTCTTCCTATAGATACTAGCAAAGAAATTGGTGAAAAATATGATAATGTTTACCACCAGAAGTTACATATAAAGCACAACACTAGCTAAGGAGCCAAGAAAAATACATGTTCATTGGGATCGATAAATAAGTATCATAAGGAACAAATAAGGAAACAGATCATCTTGACAACAAACAACTAAGAACTCCGCCATTGAACAGACTTTCCTGAAAACATTGGCTGAATTAACTGATTGGAAAGGGTAAAAGTATTGACTAATATTGTATAAGAAGACGTGGGATGTCATTTGCATCTATCTTGAACATCCAAGATAAAATAAAATGCCCAAGAAATAATATTCACACACTACTCTGCCAGCAGCGTTTTCAGGGTTAAGGACAAATAAGTAAAGGAGATGAGGCATGCAAGACAAAGGTCATAATGAAAGAGTAAAAAGTAAAACATTAGTCATACTAGGGGAGATCGACAAAACACTTTCTACGCTGCTGATAAATAGACATATTTATCCCATCTACGAAATGATTGGATATTTTCACTGGCTCTCAATATACTTGTACAAGCAAAATGAATGTAACTAATGTATAGTGAGAACTAGTAGACATTGGCACTCGAGGTTTCTACATTATACAAGTAAGTGAAAGTGACAAAAGTATCGGAATTATTGGCCTTTCTGTAGGTTCTTATACATCTACTTTTCACCAGCAAAAGGTTATGCGCCACAGCTCAAAAATAGTCACCCAACTTAAGCACCAATTTCATAATGAATCAATGATACACTAGAAGTCTCAAGACTAATTAGTCATTGCTTCTCTTTTAAATTTTGAAAGTAATATATAGTGAGAACTAGAAGTCTCAAGGCTAACTATAGCTGCTTGACATTGTTCATTTCACTCTCCTATCGAGGATCAGTGATGTCATTGTTTTCTAATTTGAAACTTAACAGAAGAGTGAAATCAACAATGTCAAGCAACTATAGTAGGGAAGGTACTGCAGACAAAAGCTTTTCCTAGTCTTGTTTCAGAAACCTTTAAGATATAATATTCCAGGCAGCACTACCTATCCATTTTTTTTTTGTGGGTACCCTAGCAAAAGTCTTTTTCTATTTTAAGGTTACCGAACTAAAGCTGACAAAGATTCATATAATTAGCTTTGTAAGATGAAGGGTGTAAAGTAAGAGAAGTAGCTCATATATGAAGTCCCTGAACTATGCTAAAAAAACTTCATATGCTATAAAGAGGCATTCAATACTCAGACTCTCATCAACTATGAAACCCGTCATGATGGATGTTTCAACGTTGTTATGTTGTTAGCACCAAAATTAGACGAACTCACTAAGCACAGTCATACATGGTAGTACGCATCGGACACTTCACAGCTAAATGACCATATAGAGGCCATTCCCTTGTCTTCAGAGGTCCATATAGTTGGAAACTTACAACTCAATATTGGGTTCTCATATTCATAGTATAAGGACCCAATTATCATCCAACATTACACACCCGGGTACACCATATTGCCAGCTTGTTGGCTAATTTACATAAACCATGCTGTAGAAAACAGATGTTGCCTTTTAGCGAGCAGAACTGCTAGCGAAGTAAAATGCAAGACCTACATGAGAAATCCAAAGGGTATGAGACTAACAGAACCTGGCCAAAAATTCCCACATCAAAGTCTAAGCTATGTCAGTTGAGATATTATATATGAACCATTAACCCTATGTCAAGCAGGCCTCATGGAGGTCTCTCCAACCTCATAGAATGAGAGATTGCTAAATCTCTCTCCTCTATGAGTCAGTGGCATGTTGGTGCACGACAGCTGCAAGCAAAATAATGTTCCACATACTCAGTCCAAGGCAACCAAAAGCAAAAGAAGGGTCTTTTCAGATCTGGTCCAAGATATTGTCAAGCAACAAAAATGTTTGTTGTGTACCTAAATTACCAGTTGGTAGAAAGGAAGGCCTATCCCATTGGCTATTTTAAGCTTGCAACAGGGGAAAAACAGATAAAATTTTATCCAGCAGTAAAGACTGTATACTAGATTAAAAGGCGAATGTTAGAATTAATATAAAACTATAACCCTTAATCCTCACCATAACTTCGGAGTTTTGGTGTAATGGTTAGAGGAACTAAATTTAAGATGGTATCAGAGCAACCCAGGTTCAAATCCCACCCGCCACGAATTAAAAACGAATTTTCTAAAAATTGACACCGCTACGTGAGTCCAGGTTTCGACCCATAAAAAAGGACGCTCAACCTGCGGGGGCATGTTAGAATTAATATAAAACTATAACCCTTAATCCTCACCATAACTTCGGAGTTTTCCTCACCATAACTTCGGAGTTTTTGTGTAATGGTTAGAGGAACTAAATTTAGAGCGAAAAAGAAATTCGTAATGAATATCAGTTCTTGTTCAAGGCACAATATCAACTACAAAAGTAAGAATGAATTTGTTATAACCTATTGGACTAGATAATAATCATATTGCTGGACCAGATATTAGAAAACCAATGGTCATTCAAATCTATCCAACACAAATGCATTCTATGCAAATTCAAGGAGCCTTTCGAATAGAAAAAAGAAAACATGGGCACATATTAAAACAAAATAAAAACAGTTTTATGGAACTGCAGCGATGAATAGGTATAAAGAGAGGCGGATGGACTTGGACGAGCACATTTTTGTAAATTAAATCGCACAGAACAGCATGTAATCCGAGAACCAAATCTAGCAGAAAAGATCCCCTTTTGTAAATAATAAAGATTATAGACCCCAATTTTTTGTTTCTTCCCATAATTCGGCATGTGCCACACAGTACAAATACACGAGCACATTCCTTCTCATCTAAAGTGCAAACTCAAACTATAGTCAATCCATTTTATTGCAATATAAGACTGGAAAAACTCTTCAATCTCACAACGAACAACGGCGATACAAAACCAACCCATCAAGCAATCCAAATCGAAGATCTAATCCTTTCTAAACCCCGAACCAATCTAGGCTACGCATTCCGTTACTAGAAAGTCGAGAGAAACTAATTTGTAAACGAAATACAAAGAAAACCCCTCACAGAGGCCAATCACAAATTGGTTTAGACTCCCAATTCACAAACGAAGAGCTTTGATCTAGAATCAAACCCCAAATACTAAAAGATTCCAATTAAAAATCAATGAAGAACTAGAAGAAAAAACAATAGAGAGTTATTGAAAGAAATTACCCTCATCTCTTGGTTACCGAAGAAGCTATCAAAAAGCTTCCTAAAGGCTTGACCCATGGCCGATCTCTCTCTCCTCTCTCCTCTCTCCTCTCTCCTCTCCTCTAAATCGATAGAAATCCTCAGTTGAGCGGCGAGATTTCAAGAGATTTCGTCGGAAATTTTCAGAGTTCGATCAAGGAAGAAGGACTCTCCCCTCTCTCTCTCCCCCCTCTTGCTGTAGGAGTTGTGTGTTTGTCTCCCACACGGAACTAGATTGTGGAAGGATGATCGCCACCGTACATTGGTCCTGATTGGAGAGAGGCCGTATGATGGAAAGTCAAGTTGAACTGTACTCTTTTAAAGTGGGGTCCGTGAGGTTCGGGTTCGTCGCTGGCCTTTGGTTTCTAGATGGTCTCTTGTATAACTTGGAAAAGGTAATTCCTGGGTTTTTTTTTTTGGAAAAATTGAGTGATGGCCCAAAAAATGAGAGCTACATACAGTCCAGGCTGTCCAGCCCCATCCTCATGTATTAATTCTCATGTGGTTCAATCCCTAAAATCAATTAAAAATATGCCTATATGTATGTGTATTTCACCATAAGGGGCTGTTTGGTTGTTGTTGGTAAAGTTGTGTATTTATGACACAACTTGGAAAGTTGTTGTCCACCTCATCAATTTCACTTTTATACTTTTCTTTGTTTGTTTTTTATTCCATTGGAATCATAAAACACTTGTTTGGTTTGCAAAATGAAATTTTAATTGTTTGTTTGGAAAGTGTAAAAAGTGGTCCCTACTCAAATGATCATATTGGTTGAAATTATTTTTTATTATTTTTTCCTAACTTCAATGTTAGCTTTCTCCTAAAATCATGTCTTTTTTCATAAAATTACTTTACAAGCCACATCAGCATATGAAATCACTTTACACTATTTTCACAACTACAAACAAACAATTGAAAGTGATGAAAGCTGACATTGGGACCCACTTTTTTACACTTTACATCCTTTTACATGGTAAAAACATACAACCAAACAGCCCCTAAATCTCTAATTTATCATTCTCTCTCCTGTTGTTCTACCCCTCTCTCTCTCTCGAACTCTAGCCACTGTTTCACCCTCGTCTTAATCTCATTCAACTGCCTCTGTCACAAACTTCTGCTGCCATCTCTTCACTGAACTCCCTTCCTTGTCGCCATCAATTCCGTCGCCGACCAAACCGACCTCCTGAAGAACGCAAATCCACTCCTCCCGCATTTTACTCAAATCCCCACCACCAATTTCTCTCCACATTAAACCCTTCATGCTAAGATAATCAGTTATATGTTGAAAAGATAATTTTTTAATTAAAATCAATGATGGATGTTTCATTTCCTAAGATTAAGTATTTCACAAAGCAAAATTGGTATCACAAATATTATGTCACATGTGTAAAGGTTATGGCGTAATTGTTAATATTTTATCATGTACCTGTTAAGATTGGGTTGTACTTATTAATGTTATGACGTACTTGTTAAGGTTATGATGTATCTATTAAGATTATATCGTACTTATTGAGATTATGGTGAATTTTAACTAACAGATGTTGACAATATCAATTAGCCACTAAGTTTATTAGAATTAAAAAAATAAAACAAACAAAGTTAAAATTTTACAATTTAGGAGTTTAAGTAATATTTGTCTAGTAAAATTGACAAGTACAGCTAAATTTTGACAATAACATATTAACTCTAACAAATCATATTATATTACATCATATCATATCATATTATATCATACTTCATATCATATCATATCATATCATACTCCTTATAAAAGAGTAAGTTTGAGAAAAACTTTCTATGGTCAATTTTACCCTTAATCCTTATGGGTATTATATTTTAAATTTATCCTAGTATATTGAAATAATTTAAAAGTAAAATCTTTAACCATAATATGATATTAAAAGAGATCAAATAGTGGAACTAATTTTCTATCCTATTAAAAGATGACATGTCTAACTAATTCTATCTTCGTACGAATTCCCATTAGATTAAAACCATTCATATCCATTACCACAAATTCATATTCATAAAAAAGTAGAAAATTTTGATAATCTAAGTTTTTGCTAATTCTAAACAAACTCTAACTATCCACAATTATAAAAATCTAAAAATTATTGATATTACATTTTAATTTTATCCTGATATATTGAAATAATTTAAAGGTAAAATCTTTAACCATAATTTAATATTAAAAGAGATCATATAGAGGAACTAATTTTCTATCCTATTAAAAGATGGCATATGTCCAACTAATTCTATCTTCCTAAGAATTCTCATTAGATTAAAACTATTAATATACATTACCAAAAATTCCTATTCATAAAAAAAGTTGAAAATTTTGATAATCAAATTTGTGTTAATTCTAAACAAGCTCTAACTATCCACAATTATAAAAAAAAAATTAACATTGTCCCTCCTTAATTATTTTAAAAAGTAAATTTCAATGAACCTCTCAAAACTTTAAATTGAGCATTAAACTCCCAAAATGTTCGTAGTTATCATTAAATCCTTAGTAAGTTAGATAATTTAGAAAACACCCAAAATATTTTAAAATTTTGCACTTAAGTTCAAAAATAGCTACAATTGGCTAAAATATTTTTGAAAACTCCCAAAGTAAATTTCACATTGGCTAAAATTAACCCTCAAGGATAGTATATACTCCTCAAATTGATATTATTTGCAAGTTAACCATAAATTGATAAACAACCCAAAAAAAAGGAAAAAATACAAATAGCTACTAAAAATTCTAAAATTACAAATAATACTCAGAAAATTTGCAGAAAAACATATAGGCCCCTAAAAATTTGAAATTGTAGAAAACCTTGAAAGTCTTAAAATTGAAAAAAAAACTCTTAAACTTCTAAAATTATGAATGACACACAAAAATTCATAAATTACACAGAACTTCTTAAAAATACAAACCAGCCACTTTAAAAATTAAAAATTATGAAAGCCCTAAAAATCCAAAAAATCAAATAAACATATGGAAAGTATGAAAATTACAAAAAATCTCATAAAAATTAAAATATTACAAATGACATCCTAAAAATTTTAAATTGCCAACAACCCCTTAAACATCTTAAAATGATAAATTGACCCTTTAAGTTATAAAACTTCCAAAAAAAAACTTGAAAAGATTACAAAAAACTAAAAAAGTATAAACAACCCTTTGAAAAATCATAAATCAGACAAAAACCACTCTAAAATCTAAAAATTACAATCAACCTCTTGAAAATTCCAATAAGTACAAACAAACCTCTAAAAAGATCTGAAAATTATAAACGATCATATTTTGGGTTTTTTGCTAAAAATTGTTGGGGATTAAGTGAAAAAAAATGTAAAACTTACTGGGTTATTTGGGTGTACCTTGGTCATTTGACTACACATGAATTAATTATGTTAATTTTAAGGATTTTCATAATTGAGGGGGTTTATCTATAATAGGCTTAAACTTGAGGGGATTTCATCATATTAAAATAGTTGAGGAGGTTTTTCTAAAATTAATCCAATATTTTTAGATATAACATTTTAAAATCTCATTAAGTAGTGATTATAAGAAACCCTTTTTCACTTTTAGATCTTATCAGAAAATCCTCTCAACTTTAAAATTTTATCAGAAAATCCCCTCAACTTTAAAATTTTATCAGAAAATTCCCCTAACATTATCACTTTTAGAGTGGTTTCCTGATAAAATCTCAAACTTAAAGGGGTTTTTTGATAACCCCTAAAATTTAGTGGATTTTATGATATTTTTAAAGTTATACAGGATTATCTGATTATCATCCAAAGTTAATGGGGTCATTTTGTTATATTTAGCCTTTAAAACATTTTACTTTATTCGCATAGTTATCTGCACTAAATAAGAGATATATCGTTTGCTTAATAATTGACTATATCAAATAGGGAAAATGCAACATTTTACTTTATGCAACCAACTTAGTGGAAAAGTTTTTTTTATTATTTTTATGACTGAAAGAAGTACTTCGAAAAGTGAAAACTTTGATATTTAGGCTTTTAAAATGTTCAATATGTATGATAAGTAAAAGAAATTATGCATATAAAATTACTCAAATAATGGATCTTAATTTCAAACTAAATTCTAATTTAATGCATTTCATTTCAAATATTTTACATTTATAATATTATACATTATAAACACACGTGAAAAGTTGTATAAATTAGTTTTAGCCATATCTAAGTTCTTCTGATATTTTGATCATTTGATGTTTAATATATATCATTTTAAAATACTTAGGGTCTTCACCAATTGTGAGCCCTTGAAATGTTCAATAGGTATGTTGGTTAAAAATAATTATTTGAGTAAAACTACTCAAATATGTGTTGTTTAAGTTTTTTGATATTTTATTATGAGATATTTAATATATATCATTTTAAAAGATTTAGGGTCTTCACCACTTGCGGTTATTTTGACAGACTTGAATTAGAATAACTACATCTTATCAGAGTAACGCTAGCCATTATATACTAAGAAATAGAGATCAGTCCTGATAGAAGGTGTGACTGGGGCAATTGAACTAAAAATTTTTGAAATTGCAAGAGTAATCTAATGAAATGGAGAAGGATCTTCAAATAAATAGGCATCTCATACTCATTAAAACAAATAACATAATTTAAAGACATGAGCAAATCTCCTGTTATGCGAAATAGTCAAAGTTAGCTATAGAGCAATTTTATGTCTAAAAAAAACAAGTTACTCTACTAAGAAAAACATACATACTAGCATAAAAAATATTAATTAACTATTTCATAGCTTGCTTTGACAATCCAGAACATAAACATATAGAGTATGATAGTATTATTGACAATCCAGAACATAAACATATAGAGTATGATAGTATTACCTTGGAAAAATTCTTATAGTTAAGATTCATGGTTATTTATTACCTTGGAAAAATTCTTATAGTTAAGATTCATGGTTATTGGTAAATGATCTTTCCTTAGGAATCTATTAGCCTCACGGGATATAACATTAAAGTAAAAATTAATTATTAAAATTATAAAGGGTATAAAATACTATGAATTCGTGCATATTATAAGATGAAAACATAGGATTGCAATGAGAATGAAATTATTTGCATAAAAATTATTTTTTTTATAAAAGGATCTTGACATTCGTGTACTATTATTGTAAATTGTACTTAATGTGAATTGACCGTGTAATTTTGACTTTGGTTATGGTAATTTTAATACTTTTGATTAAAATTG